AAGTCATGAATAAGATTTTAAAGCTTTGTCTCAGCTACAGAGTAGCTGGGACTGGAGCTGGACCAGTTGCAAAAAGCCTGAATAAAAACACCTTTGTATATGATATTTGTTCTCAACAAGGTGTAATCTAAAATAATGAACAATTTTTCTTCAAATGTAAATGTGAGCAATTACCTGCCCTTATAAAATGAAAATTTTACAGGGATGCTGGTTTGGTTTCCTTACCCCCACCCTCTCTATTACATTGTCCATGGGCACACACCTCTCTCATTACTGGCTGCACCTTATGCCCAATGCTCCATCTTCCTAAAACAAAATTATCTCTCAAAGCCCAAAAGGAAAGGCACCAGCCATTTTCCCCACCTCTAGTTGAGGTGGAGGAATTATATTCCAACAGCCTTGTCAGATGTTTGGCACAATCTATGCTATTCCAAAATGACTAGGCAAGGTTTAGAATGAGCAATGCAAAAATATAAATTTGTGCTTTTAGAATTACTTAGGCTCTGGATAACTTGTAGTCCCCTTATATGGAAGGCTTTATGTGAAAGCAGTGGGTGAACATGTTCAGCAAGGCTGAGAATGCATACTCAGAAATAGGATCAAGAGTTTACCTTGGTTGCATCACCAGAATCTGAGGATGACAAATACAGGCTAGGTAGGGCTTTCCTTGGTTGGACAGGACTCTCTGGCTATGTGGCTGGGAAGGGGGCAAGTGGGGAAATGAGAATAGGAGGATATAAGTAGTGCTGCTACTTTGAGGAAGAGCTATAAAGAGTTACTTTAACCTGTGCTGTGGCCACTAGCCACCTATGGCTGGTCCCAATTGAAATGTGCTGTAAGCATAAAAGCCACACTGGGTTTCAAAGACTTAGTATGAAAAGGATAATGTAAAACATCTCATAAATAACATTAGGTTGATTATATGTTGAAAGTGCATGTGAAGTGATAATATTTGGGGTATATTGGATTACAGAAGCTATTATTAAAATTGATTTCCCTTGTCTCTATTTTTTTTAATGTGGCTACTTGAAAATTTAAAATTAGGCATGGTTTACATTATATTTCTAGTAGATAGGGCTGCTTTATATCCACTGCACATGGTAGAATTATGCTCATGTTTACTGTCTTGTGTTTTCTGTTTTTAAAACTGAAAATATGAGGAACAGCCTTTATAAATCTTTGAGAAATAAGTACATATCTTGAATTTTGAAGTACAGCAAACGTGTGTCCTAATTATAGCACACTGGCAGCTAGCCTTCTCTGAGACTCAATTTCATCTATAAAATGAAGATAATGGCAATTCTGATCTTACCAGGTTATTACCAGAAGTGAGAAATGCATAGGAAATTAGCAGAGTGGTTGGTACAGAACTGGAATAAGGGAAACTCAATAAATATTTGGCATTATTCTTGGTTATATCTCAAGACCTGTCCAATGCCTAATCTTTAATCCCGGTCCATTTCTAACTCAGCTCTTTGTCTCTCTTGTTCTCTATGTTTGTATTTGGTGTCATATCTATCTACCTCCACACCCAGAAAGCAGAGATGTGCTTTCTTTTTTTCTCATCATTGAAGAAACTTGCGTCTGGTTCCCTATGTTGTGCTACATGTTCAGGCTATGGTATTTCTCAGTTACCTACTTCAGTTCATTTTGATTTGAGAGCAAGAATTCTCCTGGCTGAAACTGCAAACCAGGCCACAGTTCTTCATCAGCCCCTGTCTCTTGCCTCATAGCAGGATGTTTATGTCTTTTGTTTGTTTTGTTTGTTGTTGTTGTTTCTTACTAAAGTCTGCTTCTTTTGGTGGGATGATTAATCAAGGACAGTTGATGCCAGGAAAAGAGGGTGAAGGTAATAGAAGAATAAGGGTCATGCAAATAAGAGATCAACGGAGCAGAAGCAAAGACAGGACATAAGAGCACCTTTATAATTTCTCTCCACTTGCCCACAGCCATGCTTTATTTTCTCACTGTCTTTCTTGTGCCAGCTATGAAAGCTGTGCTATGTTCAAGCTGTGGTAAGTGCAAGCTGGTTCTTATTGCCTTTCTAGATTCTTACCACCTGAAGTACAACCTCCTCCAGTGTAGCATAGCACATATCTAAACCTTGTGCTCAGTTTCCATATTCTAGGAAATAAGTCCTGAGATGAAGATGGTTGTCCTTATTCTCTGAAATTCAGTGGCAGGGAAGAAATAAAATAAAAAATCATGAAGACATAGCTCCCCTAGGTATGGTGAGCTTCCTAGCTCCTTCACAATTAATGAGACAAATACTTCAGTCAGAGCTGCACGGGATAAAAACAAAGAGAAATGACTTAAGAGCACACTTGGAATAGCACAGGTGGTTGGAAGTGCCTGTGCTTCTATAAACAGTGAAAAAAGTCCCCAATTTCCTCTGAAAGTATTTCTTTAAATCAAAAAAATGTGGATCTGTGTTCCTATCCAGCAGCTGTAACTAGGTGATTCAGAGTATACTCTTGACTTAAGATGATGTTTTTGCCTTTTCATCATATCAATATGTAACTTTGCCCATTTTATTTTTAGATTTACTGAGTGTTCTCAGGGTAGCAAACTCAAAGGAAAGAAATAAGCAAATTGGGTTGCATTTCAAACTTGGGTTGAGGTTTGATGAGAAAAACCCTTGAAAAATTAACAGGGAAGAAGAGTTCCTAGGGCCTTCTGTGCTGACAACTGGGATTTATGGAGGGTTTGTTGTTGGGGGAGCTGGGTTATTTCAGTGCCAGAGAATACACCTAGGGTCACTCCACTCCCAGGCAAGGGATGCTCAGGTGAGTGCCTGCAGGAGGGCCAACCTCAGGTGTGTGGACATGGCTGTTTTTCCCTGTGGTTTCCTAGAAAATTAGAGGGTTTGAAAATGTGAATTTTCCTTATTATATTATTCAAATTTAGGAGAGTGATGAAGCATTTCTGGAAATCCAAAACATGGCTTTAAGGTATCAGTTCTGCTCACTTACATTCTGGAATCTTGCCCAGCCGCCCCCCCCCCCCCACCTTCCCCTAGAGAATAGAGCAAATGTACTGCTGATTTTTGATCTGACATTTCTTGTTTTTTGAGCGGGGGAGGGAGGTCACTGTAGTATAAATGCTTATGAAACTTGTAACATCAGTAGTTTGTGACCTAACAGGATCTTCATCTATCATAGATCATAGAAAGAGCAATGATTATGTAAGCTGGAATGCAGACATGTGGGCATGCAAACATATATCCATATAAAAAGCGTTTGCTCTTAAATAAAAAAAAGTTACTAAAATGGAAAAAAAAGTATTTGCTCTGTGGAGACCACTGAGTCATGTCTCTTTAGAGTCTGATCATTTCTGGGCTTTTCCCATAGCTCAGTGCCACAAGTGCAATGAGCCTGTTACTGGCTGAACTTGAAGGTAGTTTTATATTTTCCATTGTGTTTGAATAATTGTCCTATTTCAAAACATTTGCAAAGAAACAGAAGTGCTACTGCAGATATGACATTATAATTACAGGTGTGCACCCCTAGTACATCTATGTCAAAAAATCTACTCTCATTGACAGGCTAGTCCTCCTTTTTGCTTCCCTAGAAACTGAATGCAAGATCAGTGTCACTAAATATGCTTTGTTACCACTTCCATTTGTCCAGAAGATATCATTGGGTCTTTTTTATGTGGACATTCTTTAAAATGCAAATGTTGTTTCACCTGATATGGCTATACTGTATACATTTATTTAAAAAAAAGAAAACAAAGACATAAGTAGATTAATGGACTGCATAAAATGCTTTCTGGATACAGAAACAACAATGAAAACATTTTTTTTAATTAACAGGCATTAACAGGTATAAATAAATTGTCTAAAGCGTTTAATGGTCTTTAACACAGTCAACTCCTGCAGCCCTGAAATGGTGTTAAATTCTTTTTGCTAGTGGCAAAAGAAGCTGTCAAACACAACATTGAAAAACTGGTACTGTTTCCTGGCCAGTAAGTACAGAACTGAGGGGCTAAATATTTTGTGTTTTTTGTTGCTGTACTCATGCTGTATTATTGTTTCTCTCCCACTTCCTGCCTGCTCAGGGCTGATCGTGGTGACACTGGCCATCTGCTGGTTACCTAACCAGGTTCGGAGAATCATGGCTGCCTCCAGACCCAAGCACGACTGGACCAAGTCCTACTTCCAGGCCTACATGATCCTCCTCCCTTTCTCAGACACCTTCTTCTACCTGAGCTCGGTCATCAACCCACTGCTATACAACGTGTCCTCGCAGCAGTTCCGTAGGGTGTTCTGGCAGGTACTGCGCTGCCACCTGACCCTGCAGCACGCCAACCAGGAGAAGCGCTTGCGCAGCCTAGCTTCTTCCACCACGGACAGCGCCCGCTCTGTGCGCCGTCCATTGATCTTCATTGCTTCGAGGAGCAATTCCTCTGTAAGGAGAACTAACGAGGTTGTTTTAAGCACTTTTCAGAGAGAGGCAGAAGCCAAGTCTGAGTCTAAGACTCAGCAATTGAGTCCAGAGTCGCCAGAGCCCAAGTGGGAGATGAAACCAGCCGGTTCTGCAGCAGAGAATGGTTTTCAGGAGCATGAAGTGTGAATGTCAAGTAAGAAAGTCTCAAGTGCTAACCAGCCCTCCACTAATGGAAACATTACCCTCTCAGAGCAGGGACAAAATAATCTCTTCTTCCATCAGGGACAGGAGTGGAAGCTAGTGGTCTTGGGAAAGGCAGATGTCCACTCAAGTGTCTTCTAAGGGCTGATTCTGCTACCTTGACTGGTTACAGATGGGGGAACTTTGAATTCAACCCCTTCCTTCTTTTACGTACACACTGAAAATTCAGTCAGACTGAATTTTTTCAGAGCTTACAAAAATGTTTTACACTGAACTCTTTCATTATTTGCAAAGGAACTAAAAGAAAGAGAATGCAGACTCCCTACCCAGACTCAAAGGACACCCAGAAGATCTCATGGAGCCGGGGGAGTGAGGATCAGAAGAATAATGCAGGAGGGGCTGGCATTTCATTCAGCAGTACACCGAGAAGAGGGCTAATTTGAGGAGCAGGAAGGTGGTGGGGAACCCTGGCTGGAGCACCGAGGCAGAGCTGCTCCTTTTCTTGGGCCGGGGCCCATTGCACAGAGGGGTGTTACAGCAGCTGATGCACACCGAGTTCAGTTTCCCTGGGGAGCAGAAGGACTGGTACCCTGCAGAGGCGATGAGACAGGCTGCCGATGATGCACAGGACTTTCGATACATGATCCCTGCAACACAGATGCAAAGAGCTGGGTTAACCTGCTCTGGCCAATGGACAACATCCCTCTGAATTCAGGTCCCAGTGTGTCCTTTCTCCCCCCTCTCAGAGCCTAGGGACTTGGGAGGGTCAGGGAGGTGCTTTTGGTTGTTTTGCTGAGCCCTTCAAAGTACATGAGCTATATAGTAAAGAAGGTAGTCATCATTTGACCACTTTTGACAGAATTGTTCCAAAGCTATTTGAGATGCAATGCCAGCAAATAAAGAGCTGTCAAAACCAAAGTCTACTCTGAAAAGTCAGAATTCACACTGTGTACTAGATATAGAGCTTTTCACCTTTTCTTCCAAAGAGGACCATAAGCTATGTGTGTTGATCTCATCTCTATTATTACTTTGTAAGTGACCACAGATAGATGGCTCTCAACTACATATTTATTAAATCATGGAACTTTCTGAATAAGTCAGATTCCCTGAAGGGGCCATGATTTTTCCCAGGTTTCAGGGGATCTACTGCCTCAAGCGACAGGGTGGCCTGACTCACAATGTGTACAGAACAGCCTTATTCTCAGGAAAGAAATATTGCCCTTAGAACACATGGTCATTTTCCCACTCAGCATCACACACCTAGCACTTAACACACATCATGTGGGCATACAAAGGAGTTTCCTGAGGAAACTGGGGGTCCAATCTTAAGGAGTATGTATGTCATGTCCAAATTGTAGCACAGCCATCAAATTAGGGTGTCTTGGATAATCATATGACTTCTTGAAGCTGGAACTTTACTCAATCCAAACAATAATAACTAAACTTGTGTTCCTGTATGCCAGGCATTCCTAGATCACTTACTACCTACAAGGGAGGCCCCATGATTATCGCTTTGACAAATGGGCACCAAAGGCAAGAAAGGCTTAGTTAACTCACTCAAAGTCACACCACTAAAAAGTAGGGCAGGTGGGATTTGAGCCTAGCATTCTTGACTCCATGCCATCAATTCTATATTACTGTATAACAAAGCATATCCCCAATAAACCACAAAAAATGGTTTGGTTTGGTGTGGTTTTCTTTTTTGAGGTGGAGACTTTAGTCTGCATATAGTTTTTGGTGTATATGTGTACATTGTTCTTTTATATCAATGATCTCTTTATTGAGCTATAATTAACAGAATTATTTTTAGTCAAATAATATATAATACTAGATGGAATTACTTTTGGTCAAATGATATGTAATACTAAAGTTATACATGGAAGTGAATGGCTTTAGCCTCTTTGCTGCCCTGTACAGCTGAGGGCTACATTCCAGTAGCAGCCAGGGCACCATGCTCTCTGACTCCTTGTAGGTAAGTGTTTGCAGCATTGCTTTGGCTTGTAGCTCCCCTTTTCCACTTCAGAAGAACTGCTTTGTGTGCTAGAGAAAGTAAAGACTTAAACTGCCTAAAACTTCTGTGAATGAGGTAAAGAAATACTTTTGATTTACATGAAAACATGTAACTTTTTCACTTTTTTCTACATATATTTATAAGGATTGACTTCCTAACACCATTATAAAATACTGGAATTAACTGTTCTGATAAGATAATGTCGATGGATAGAGTATGTGTGCAGGGGGAGAGACGAGGCACTGTTTAATTTCTAAGGAACATGCTACATACTATAAATGTGTGTTGCCCATTCATACATTTCCCATGGTCACTACATTTTCTATCTATTGCCCATTTTAGGATATTCAATTTTGCTCACTATCTTTTTAGTCTTAAATATTAAAAGCACTATCATTTGCTAGTTCAACTTCAGTAAACTTTTCCCCTTAAGTGTATTTTAAAAATTCAAAATATTTACTAAATATATTTTTCACTGTAAAAAAAACGTTCAGACATTCAGATAAGGTGAAAATGCCCTTTGACCACCCCTTCCAACCCCAAGTTCTTATCAGTTTTGGATGACTCCTTTCAGGCCTGCTTCTATACATTTACATATATGACCATGAACAAATAAAGTGTGTGTGTGTGTGTGCACACCTGCACACATGCCCCTACACATGTACACCCTTCCTAAGAGCATCACATCCTATATGCTGTTATGTAATTTGCATTTTTACTTAGTAACGTCACTGAGGATTTACTTTGAAGCCTAACTTTGCAAGGCTAAGCATCAGTGATGAGGTAGGTTAGTTACATAATACATAAGGAAGAGGAGCCCTGAATTTTGCAACTGCCACCCTGGGGACAACACCAGATTGCCTGGTTCTGGTAGCCAGTCAGGCTTAACACTTGTGGTCTCACAGGACTGTATATATTTGCATTCTTTAAGAGATCCTTAAAGATCTGGCTCCCAATCAGCCTGAATCTAGGGATTGACTAAGCTCCTCCCCTCTGAGATACTGATTGTCACACACCTTAAAATACTGGGAGCTATTAAAAATGGGCAGTCACAAAGGTTTGAGAGGCAGCCAAGGGCTAGGGCACATTTGAATGATAAGGTACATCTCCTACACAAGGCCAACCCTTCAAAACTGGGAGAAGTGGCTATTTCATCTAAATCCTAGAAACCAACACAGAGAATCAAGCAAAATGAAGAAACAAAGGAATATGTTCCAAATAAAAGAAAAAAACTTCAGGAAAACAAAATCTTAATGAGACAAAGGTAAATCATTTACCTGATAAAGTGTTCAAAGTAATGGTCATAAGAAAGTTCACTAAACTAAAGAGAAAAATGGATGAATACAGTGAGTACTTCAATAAAGAGATTATAAGAAAATACAAAAGAGAAGCCGCATAAGTGGTGAATACGATAACTGGACTGAAAAATACACTAGAGGGGTTCAACAGTAGACTGGGAAAAAGAGTAGGGTCAGTCAGTTAAAAGACAGGGCAGTAGAACTCACCCAATTAGAGCAACCAAAAGAAAAAAAATGAATAAAGAAATGTGAAGATAGTTTAAAGGACATCAAGTGGACTAATATTCACATTATAGGAGTTCCAGAATAGAAGTAAGAGAGGAAGAAGCAGAAAATTTACTTGAACAAGTACTGACTGAAAACTCCCCTAACCTGGGGAAGGAAACAGACATCTAGACCCAGGAAACCCAGAAAGTTCCAAATAAGAAGAATCCAAAGAGACATATACCAAGGAACATTACAACTAAAATGTCAAAAGTTAAAAACATAAAAGCTAAAAAGGAGAAAGGAGAAAACTTGTTATGTACAGCGGAACCCCCATGAGATGTCAAATTTTTCAGCAGACACTTTCCAGGACAGAAGAGAGTGGCATGATATCTTCACAGTGCTAAAAGAAAACAAACAAACAAGAATACCCTACCTGACAAAGTTATTATTTAGAATTGAAAGAGTGATAAACATGTTACAAAATGCTTTTCCAGAAAAGTAAAAGCTAAAGAAGTTCATCACCACTAAATCAGAATTATTGATACAAGAAATGTTAATCGGACTTATTTATACTGAAAAGAAAGGATGCTAATTATACCAAGAAAACATGTGAAAGTATGAACCTCATTGCTAAAGCTACATATATAGTGAAGTTAGTGGATTAATCACTTAAAAAGTAAAGGTAATATGAAGGTTAAAAAGACAAATGTAGTTAAAAATAACTACAAAAATTAGTTAAGGAATACACAAGATAAAAAGATATAAAATGCGACGACAAAAACATAAAATGTGAGGGAGAGAATAAAAATGTAGAGTTTTAGGATGCATTCAAACTTAAGTTGTGATCAACTTAAAATATACTGTTGTGAATATAAGTTGTTATATGTAAGCCTTATGTTAACCATGAAATAAAAAACCTATGGTAGATACACAAAAGATAATGAGAAAGGAATCTCAGCATGCCACTAAAGGAAGCCATCAAACCACGAAGGAAGAGAACAAGAAAATAAGAAGGGGCCAGAGGAACTACAAAACAGACAGAAAACAACAAAATGGTAATTTTGTATATACCTATCAATAATTACTTTAAATGTAAATGGACTAAATTCTCTAATTAAGAGGCAGAGTGGTTAAATGAACTTAAAAAAAAAAGACCCATCCATATGCTGCCTACAAGAAGTTCACTCAGATGTAAGGACACACACAGATTGTGAAGGGATGGGAAAAGATATTCCATGCAAACAGAAGTCAAAAGAAAGCTGGGGTAGCTATATTTATGTCACACAAAATGGACTTATAACAAATACTGTAATAAGAGACAAATTATGAATCATTAGATAATGGTAAAGGGTCAATCCAACAAGAAAATACAACATTTGCAAATATTTATGTGCCCCGTATAGGAGCAGCTAAATATTGGGTTGGCCAAAAAGTTCATATGTGTTTTTTCTGTAAAATGGAAGATACATTTTTTCATTTTCACCAATAACTTTATTTTGATATTTTAATATCTCCTACATGGTATAACATTGACTGTTTTCAATTAATGTCTCCATTTGATCACTATATACTTCAACTAGTCTATACAACCATGGAGCATCATCTAACAAGAAATCTCCAGCATGAAACTTCACAAGCCACTTTTGACATGTTCCATCAGTCACAGCACCTTCTCCATACACTGAAGAAATCATTTTTTGCATTTCAGTTGAGTTCTTACCATTCTTGAAATAATAAAGCATAATATGCCAAAAATGTTGCTTATTTTCTTCCATCTTTAACACTAAAATGGCTACAAAAATTCACCAATTTTAATGAGTTATTTTTTAAATGTGTGCTGAACTGACAGCTGTCACAATATAATCTAACGAAATTGTTTCAAATGAAGTTAAGGACAACTAAGCACTACTAGAGCCATCTTATGGAAAAAAACAAATGAACTTTTTGGCCAACCCAATATATAGGGTCCATCAGAAATAATGCCTGCTTGAGTGTGGTTGTTAGGGTAATAATATGGGTGTAATAATTTATAGTTTTAATTTAAACATTTCATCTAAAAAGTCATATGGTATGCTTGAGTGTGATATTGTTATGTTATACATTACATGTTACATATATTAAGAATTACATG